GTCCCGCCGCAGTCCGCCGCCGTCCGCCTCTCCGGCTCGTGCGGGAGCCCACGCGCCGCCCGCCCCGCACCCTCGGGCAGAGCCGCGGCTCCAAGCCCTCATAGCCCTACCCGCGCGGCGCGAGTCCACGGAGGAGCGGGTGAGACAGACGGTCGTCGGGGCTCCCGTGGGGTGGGGGGGACGGGGCGCCCCGCTATCCCCTCCAGCCCTCCTGGACGGCGGGGCGCCCAGGTTGGAGACCCGTTTGGCCCCGTGGGAGGTTTTCAGGGGAAATGGGCTCAAAATCCAGGAACTGAACTTTCTCCTTGGAAGCTTAGTGTCCCAGTAATAAGGATGGAGTGTGGGTCTCCGTGTTTAAACTGCAGCCAGCGGCGGTGGACTTGAGAAAACACCAGCTCAGGCTTGTGCTGACATGCACTGCCTGGAGCATGCTACCAGGTGCCCTCCAGCTAGTTATAATTCCAATCGTAATTCTGCTAAAGGAGATGAAGTAGGGCAGGATGGTGGAGAGCGGTCCCGTTAATTTAATTAGGTATCAAAGATTGCTGGAAAAAAGTGGATGCCTTTTCTTAAAGTAAATACTATACAACCAGTTTTCTGGGTAAATGCAAGTAAATTTGAAAAATAATTAAAACTCATTTTAGCCAGGACTGTCCACCTTCTCTCTCATCAGACCTTTTATCAGGTCTGTTTACGGGCAACTACTTTGAAATACTTTCAGTTCTTACATTCTTTCTTCCATAACAGAGGAGTTGCCAAAAAGGCTTGGAAATGAACAAAATGCCCTAGTCTTAGTTCTGCTGAGAAATGGTAAAGTTACTGCTGGTCTGATAAAGTCTTGATTACCTGCTAGTTCTTCAAATAATCTATATTTTTGCTCCGAATCTTCACTGTTCATTACTCTGTTCCGTTAGGCAGTATGTCCAGCCCCAAGATTTTTTAATTTCATTTACTTTATTTTAATTATCTTTTTCTTACATTTACATTTTGTTTTGTATATATGTGTACATATATAGATAATATACACTGTATGATGCAAGAAGGGGAGAAATGACAAATAATCACAAATAATGCATCTTCCCCCCTTGCATTCTGGGTGTCTGCTTTTCCACTGCAGAAATCTGTTTACTAAGCCTTTCTGGTAGTTTTTGAAGCCATACTAAAGGATTGAAATCATAACTAGGGAATGATTTCGCCCCATCAGGGTCCCAGATTCACGTGTAGATGTTTAAATAAAGGTTCTAGGGCTTTAAAGTGAGATTCAAATTTAATATTCAGAGTCCAAAGGGGAGGGGGCACATAACAACATAAAGAGTACCTATCCTAAACCAGGGAAAGTGAGGACCAGTTGGAGGTCCAAACTTCACCTGCACATAGATTACTTATGTACCTAATCCTGACTTGTACCCCACATCTTTAAAATAAAGTATAAGCAGTAAAGAAAAAAAAGGCACCCAACTTGTATACAATACAGAATTTTTAAATTTTATGATCTGACTCTTACAGTGAACATTAATTGGATAATTAAAATTTGGAAATTAAAAAATTCAGAGTTAAGTTAATGGTTTTTAGCAGGAGTCCTCAAACTTTTAAAACAGAGGGCCAGTTCACTGTCCCTCAGACCGTTGGAGGGGCGGACTATAGTTTTTAAAAAAAAAGGAATTTAGTCATAGTTTTTTTTTTTTAAACTATAGTCCGCCCCTCCAATGGTCTGAGGGACAGTGAACTGGCCCCCTGTTTTAAAAGTTTGAGGACCTCTGGTTTATAAAGTATTAGGGGCTGGATATTAACTGGAGCTTTTACTCTGACTTAAGTTATAAGATCCTATAACATGGTGTACAGCATAGTGTCCTTAGAACATAAGAAAACTTTGTCAGATTTCATGTATGTACAATGCTTTATTTCCACCTTTGAGAAAAATCTTCCTCAGAAGTGTGGGCCCTAATACCCAAAATGTAAAACACTTAAGAGATACATCCTAAATTGATGGAAAACAAGGCTAAAAGTAAAGACTACTTAGGGACCAGCCGTCCCATTTCTGGGTGTATATCCTAAGGACTTGAAATCGGTATGTCAAAGAGATATCTGCATGCACATGTTCATTGCAGCATTATTCACAATAGCCAACTTGGGAAATCAACCTAGGTATCCAGTAACAGATGAATGAATAAAGAATATGTGGTATATTCTGACTTGTATCCCACATCTCTATAATAAAATAAAGTTATAAAAAATATTAACTAAGAATGTGTGGTATATATACACCAGAATACTATTCAACCTTTAAAAATAAGGAAATTCTGTCATTTGTGACAACATAGATGAACCCGGAGGACATTATGTTCAGTCAAATAAGCCAGGCAGACAAATTTTTAAAAACTCTGCATGTTCTCACTTATACTTGGACTCTTTTTTTTTTTTGAGTTGGGGTCTCACTCTGTCACCCAGACTGGAGTGCAGTGGCCGCTCCCGGCCACCGCAGCCTCAACCTGCTGGGCTCCGGCGATCCTTCCGCCTCAGCCTTCCGAGTACTGC